GGATTCTTAATCACATCCTTAAGAGGCCTTGTCCACAAATGTGCTGTTTAGTCACAAGCCACAGATATTTGTCACAGGAGCAGTTAACCAACCTGGCAAACCAAGAGTCTTATGCAGGTCCGCATAGCTTCAGGTGCAAGCAGAGTCCTTTACCAGCACACTCAAAACAACATAGCTTTTTCCACCCCAGAAACAGACATTTCTGGGTCAAAGTGTTTCAACTGGACCTTACATTTGAGGAACAAAAAGTCAGCATCTCCTCCATTTCCAGAAGGCAACAAGCACCCAGACCTATACAGCCCCAAGCAAGGCCTGCAAAGTTTATGTGCTCCTTTTAGCTCTACTCTTCAGTAAAACATAATTAAACATCAACCCTTGGCTAGCTGCACCTGAGATGTAACACCTTAAGGGAATAACTAATCAATGTGTAATACAGATTCTCCAGCAAGTGACTCTGAGTTGCAGAAACTGGCCACAGTAAGAGTATGAACAGTGAGCTGTTTCCTGCAAACCTTATGTGTAGCTCACACTCATTTCCCTTCTTTCATCTTTCTACATTTTTCTTTTGAATCAAGTTTCTTCCCAGCATCCTATTTAAAACATATACTGACAAGGCACTGTACTGAGAAGTTGAGGCTGCTGCTCCATTAATACATTTATAATCCAAGCAGCTTTGGGGATACAGGCCTTGCAAGCACATGGAGCATTTCATTTGATTTTATCTGATTCACTTTATTCAGGTTTATTTTCTTACTGATCACAAACCTTTGTATAACTTCTCCACAGCTCAACAAAGTGTAAAGAACAGTTAATATTTGTTGTCCCCACTTCTGTTCCTTCAGTGAGCAAACCCATTCTTCCACACCCTGCATATCTGCCTCTTACCAAAACCAGTATTTCCCCCATTTCTCCAAAACAATTTATCTTGAGCTTATGCTAAAGAACAGCCATGTGGTATTCCAGAGTTTTCTCTTAATCCACTGACAGACAGAGTCAAAGCAAAAACACCTACAAAAATTAAGCCAGCAGTTTGCATTTCAGGCACCTACTGAACTCTTGGGAACATATACACATGAAAACATACACAACTACTCATCCCTTTAAAGTCTTGCCATTTCCATCAGGATCTTGCAGAATCTCACCTGGGTTTCTGCCTGCTTTTAACTCATCTCACCAACTAAAACCTGAAAATAACATGTTATAGTATTTAAAAGCCAGAATTCCCAGCTCTTTGGGAACATAAAGTACTAGTCAACAAAACATTCCCAGCTCAGTATTTTCAACCAGAATTATCTTTAGACAAAGTAATGCAAATAGCAGGAACAGAGCTACACATCAGTACTTGGGAAGCCCAGCTACAGAGGGCACATGGAACAACAGCTTCTAGCCTGTGTCAACTGAGAGAGATCATTGCTTAAAGCTCTTGTTGCCCCCCTGCCCCCCAATCAGCTGCAGGGTTTTTGTCACTGTATCAAGATTTAACAGAACAAGCCCCAGACGTAGGAACTGGTTAAATCCTGACACTGGATGTGGCTTCACTGATGTTGCTTCCACCTTTTCTTTGGCTCTTTCACACTCTTGAGGTCATTTTTTGTGACATTTTCCTGAGATCCACTTCTAACCTTCCTCCCCCTTGAAAACACACGCACAAATATGAATGGCAGGCATGCAATCTGCACAGAGCCACAGCACAGAAACTTGCACCTTGCACTCTTTTTCTATGTAAATAATGCAAGGATCCTGCGGGAACATGCCAGGGATTGGAATTTTTAATTAATGGGTCTCTTTAATGTGCAAATCAGGAGCAGGCTGCAAATTCTGACTTGCATTGATTATGAAAAACATTAATTGAACGTGCAAGACCCCAAACAGAGGCAACATCTCAAGCCCTGGACTAGACTGGAAGATATGGTGCAAGAGAATACAAATGTATCTTGAAGAAACAGACCCTGGGCAGCAGCACCTCAGGAACGTGAGCTGTGGGAGCTCACGTGCGCGGTGCATTAAACATTTGCGCTCTGCTGTGATTTCAGCATTAAAACCCACTCTAACTTGCTCCATGGATGCAAACCAGGAATAAACAGAAGCTCCATGACCACAGTTTGCTCTCCAATTTGTATGTAAAAAGTGACAAAAAAAAAAAAAATATCTGGAACATAATTAAAGATTAAATAAAAAAAAAAGGAGGGGGAAAGAAAAAGTAAGACAGCGCAAACAAAGCAAGGCTGTCTCTTTAAACAGAAATTCATCCTATATAAATTATGGCCATAAACTTTTCCTGCAGTGCAGCCTAATTAATTCTTGTTCTATACACAAAGGGAAATGCTGGGTGACAAATGGGTGTGAAGCCTGAAAGCTGCCAGGTCTGCAAAACATTTTCTACTTCAATTTATAAGCAATTTTGCAGTAAATCATCCAGCAGAACCTGAGATCTCAGGAATCCAGAGTGTCCAAACCATGGGGCATCATTAAAGAAAAAAAAAAAAATTACAAAAAAATAATAAATTAAAACACTAGAGGCTTTGTAACCTCCACTCTCAAAATTGGGAAAACAAGCATGACCTTACTGCGTTCACTCAGATTTAGCTTTGAAACTGCAAATGTATAGAGCACTGCTGCCTACTCTTTAACACAATTATACTCAAACCTAAGGGGATTTCACTACCACCACTAACCGCACAGAGGGTTGCCACAAGTGGAATACAGCAAGGAGACAAATACACGAGGGACTGTTTTCCACTTCAAAAAATTCATCCTTCTTGTGAGCACAGAGCAGAGATTTCCTGAGAAATGGAAGGACTTGGGATAAATCACTGAGTGCTCTGGGACAGCTTTCAGAGATGCAAAGGACCAGTGCAGGTCCTCAGAGAGGTGGGTGCAGAGACCTCTATGCACTCCTGTCTTCAGCAGGCTACAGAGCACATCCAGAGTCTGAATTTTTGGCACCAACTGCTTTGTGCAACATCAACATGAAATCATTTCTTCCTGTTCAATGAAAGCATGCCAAATTTCTGTTGTGGATTTGGAAAGGAGCTGAGGCTTGCCTGAAAGGGGAGTACTATCCCGTCCAAAACAGTGTCAATGTCATGATTATCCCAAATCCTGTCCAAGACCAAAGTGCATCACATACAATGAACCACCTCAACATTCAGTATTTAAAGTCCCGTCTTACTTTACAGGACACTCATCTTTCAACTTACTCATGCACAACTCTTCTATTTTTTCAAGTCTGGGGAATGGGATCCTACTCACCCAATGGTAGCACAGAAGGTATGAGAACTCACGAGTATTTACCCAGCCTACTACATGCCCATTCAGAACCAAGTAAGACAGTTTATTAAATATATTATGATGTATACTTTCAGAATTACTTAGTTTCACCTCCTGAATGGACAGGCCACAGCCCTGCTATCCAGGCAGAAGCTCTGGACTTAAAATGTAGCACAGCTCAGCCTGCACACTGGGTAACGCTCTAGCTGTTATCAGACATGAATCCCTCTCACAAGGCCTAACACAGCAAGAGAGAAACAGGTCTTTGCCACGTAACACCAACTATATCCCTAGTCTTTCAGAAGATCTTCATGTCTAAGTTTACTCTTTATTTCATGCTTGGCACTTTGTAACCTCTGGAAAGAGCATCTTTGCAGGGCAGTGAAAGACAGCTGCACTGCATGGTAGTGTAGCTCATCAAAAACTAGTTTATTGTAACCTACTCCAGCTTTATTTTCTTCCTGTCTTCACAGATGAAATCCAGAACACAAACCCAGGCTACCAGGGACATCCGAGTACACTACTGCAACTTTCTGTGATAAGACTATGAGATGAGAGTGGGGAGGAAACTGCTGGGCAGTTACTAACAGTGGATTTTGCTTCAGCGTTCTGAACAACTGAAAGATCAGCCTCCCTGCTGTACTGCGTACAGTATTATACTCCATGCTCTTGGATGTATTTTGCTTATGGGAAATATCAAAATGTCAACCATTGTTTCTGTTAAAGGTCTTTAATGATATTGCATTTTAGACCTGTAATGAAACATGGTGCTCGGTGCAGTTTGTAATGCATCTCATTAAATACATTAATAACATGTATTTCACTGAAAGGTCAGCTTAGTATTGTTGGGAGTTTGCCTTTTTTCCCTTAATCACTTAATTTAAAGCAGCAGAGCTAAGTTTAAAATGTAACAGATCTCACCTGCTGTAACTCCAGATAAGCTGATTAGCTGCCATGTTCAGGTGAGGTATACGCCCTGAGAGTCTACACCTGGTGTAGGCACAATGATGGGGAAAGTTCCTAATCCAGTTTTGAGATGAATTGTGCCAGGCCAGGCCAAAATGTCTCAATGCCTCTTGATGTTCATTAATTTGTGACTTCTATAAAGTTCATTAATTTGTGATTAATGCAATCAGAAGACAGCATGTCAGGGAGAGACACCAATACCTGCAGTCGTTTGTATTTGTTCCTAAGGATAACGTACCAGACATTCATCTCCCTGTGCATTTAACTCCAATAAAAAAAGGTGTCTAATTCTAAAAATTAAATAGACCCACAACACAGTGAAGTACTTTGCAATTACCAGCTGGAGCACGCAATTGTATTTGCCATATTGGAGAATCTACTACAAATCTCACCAGATCAATATCATTAATAGTGATCCTAAGAAATAAACAGACAAAGCAGCTCCAAGCTGAAAAGGTATTTGCTGCTGATTTAACAGCACAGGCCCTCTCTTACGGGCTTCATTACTCCTGGTTAGGGCAAATTTTTGTATTCACTGCCCCGGCACAAAATTGGTACCACAAGGTGTCTCTGGACAAGGTGTCTCTTTGTCTGGGGTAGAAAACAGGTGGAACTTCATTAACAATTAAGGCAACACAAATCAACAGCTAACACAAGGCACCTGGAACTCAAAGCCCTCACCTTCCTATTAACTCTTTCCTACACAGGCAAACCATACTGGCTACAGTAGTCTAACTAAAGTAGAGAAATAAAAGAATTCTTACAGTTCTCAACAGCGTTGTCAAATTCCTGTCCACCTTCCTTCCTGAAGGTTGGGTAAGTGTCTGGCTGTGGAAGCCGGTTGACTGTTACAAGCGCCTTCTGCATCTTGATTCTCCCTTCCAGTAGCTGATCCCACAGAGCTTTATAAAAAAGAGAAAATAAAGCAATATGATCCTGACTGCAATTCTAGAATCCACAAAAGAAAAATCATCTTTTTCCTTTACTGTTTAAAAGTACATTCTGCACATGGGGGTTTGATCATTTAATAGGACAAACAGGAAGAAACTGCAGTCAGTATAACATTTTCAGAAGAAACAGAAATGGCATCAGCACTCCCACTGTGGTAACTCCCCATCCCCACCAATACCACAAGCAATTTACTACTGGTTCAGTTAGGCCAGTGGATAAATACACTTCATAACCTGAGATTTTGTAGCAACAGTGACACCATCTTGCCTAGCAGATCTGGCAGACCATTTGCAAATGTGACTAGAGCTGCTGTAGCATGCCCATGCAGTATGCTAACAGCATGTTAACATGCTGAAGTGGCTCCTAACATGGCCAGTTTCTATGATGTCAGCAATGTGAAAGGCTTGACAAAATACAAGGCAAATGTGTACAAACCTAGCTGATTCTTCACTGCTTTTCCTTTTTCTACTTCTTCAGTCTCTTGTCCTTTTGAGAATGTCATCACCCCCCCATCATCTTCGTGGTCTTTGGTTTCTTCTACACTGTCATGGTTTTCACTCTCATATTCCTCCTCATCACTTCCTTCTTCCATGCTGGCATCATCTTCATCTTCATCTTCCCCTTCACTGATTCCAACATCATCCATCCCCTCTGTAAATTTCTCAAAGTCTGTGATGTTCTGGAAGCTGAACTTCGATTCCTTGGTCTTGGCAGACGGATCTGTCTCTTCATCATCTTCCAAGTCATCCTCTTGGTCACTGCCAGCACTGTTCAGCTTCTCCTTGGTTTTAGTGCCTAAGCTGCCATTCTCTTCCGAATCCTCGCTGCCACTGTACCAGTCATCTAATGCTTCTTCAGCTAATAATTAAAAGAGAAAACAGTTATTTATTTACCAGCAAAATATGCCTTTTTGCAGCCCGCATCATCAACAGTTACAGGTTTGGGCTATTTGAGCTCCGAACTCCATTTTATCATCATACAACGTTACTCCTGAATTTCGGGAAGGCACTTCAAGACGTCCAACTAAATGTACCTGTTTATTGCCCTGTAACAGGGACCTAAAGTTTGGCATCTCAGCTCACACGGCCCTAGCTCTGTAGTTAACTAATAGTTAACTACTCAAATTTCAACTAGTCTAGTGAAAAGGGGAAAGAAACGGCATTTCTTACCAGATCCTTCTTCAGATACAGCATCTCCCCAGAGTTCTTCCTGCAAAGCTTTGCGGGATGTTGCTTTTCCACTGTACCTTTTATCAGCTTCCAAGAGAGAGGCTGAAGCTTTTTTCCGTATGTTACCAACAGGTAAAACGTCATCTGCAGTTTCATCCTCAAATCTGTCAATCACTTTAGCAACTGTAGCTGTGGGGAACAGAAAAAGGGAGGGATATCTAAACTGAACTGAATTTCAGACTAGAACCACCAGGTGCAGGAAGGAGTCATGGAAAACTCCCCATGCTCCACAAACAAAAATACACTGCAAAGGTGAGCTGGATGGCAACACAGCCTCACAGAGGAGCCTGGCTTTTAGGCCCTGAGAGCTGAATTCTTTCTTTTGAATGAACAGTGCCCACATTCACTCTTTCCTTCCTGCCTCCTCTTTAGAGGACACACCTGAAACTAAGCCTGCCCAAGCCCTTCCAGAGATTCATGAGAAATACAGTCCTCCAGGTGCAGGGCTCAGCAAAATAGGACTGCCTTCACTCCATGCTTACAGAATGAAAGAGGAAGTCTGCAGTTCAGATGCACTTTGGCCTCTTGCTACACAAAAATACATAAACACTTCAGAAAACTAAACAGAGAAAAATCATTTCGCTTGGTTATTACCCTCTTTCATACCCATCTTCTCCAGAACACAGGTACAGAGCAGTCCAGCAAAGAGAACACACCATACCAGCCCACCTCCCTATTTCCATTCATGTGCAAGACACCCTGCATGCAAAATTACAGGGTTAGCTTTGTTCACCCAACTGAGTGATCCAAGTGGCTGAACATCGCTAAGTGCTCTTTTAATGTTCTTTGGAAATGTAAATGTCTCACATATAGTGTTTACCCGAGACAGGGGGGAAGGAAAAAACATCTGCTCACAACCAAAGCAGGTCTAAATACAGTCACCCCAGCTACAAGAGATGCAGAGCACCAAGGAGTGAATGGGCAAAAGGGGCAGACCTGTGGCGCTCAATGAGTCTTCTGGCACTCTGTCTTGGCACCCCTGATGTATGAAACTAAACCATGATTATTAAAATGGGGAAGCATCTCTGCCGACTATGTTAATTTCCCAATGGTTACTAAGAGGTTGCTTACAAGACGTTATTGCTCTCACACAGATTTGTACAGAGGATCCAAGCCAGCTGGCACATTTACTATGAACAGCGCTTAGTACCTCCTATCACCAACCAGTGCCAGTGTGTAACGGCTAACTCACAGTGTCCAGAGGCGAGTGCAGGAACCTGGGACAAGATGTCCTACAGAGGAGCCCTACCCCATGGAGAAAATGCTCTGGAGAGGGTAAGCCAAGGAATCAGCAGGCACCAGCCTGGAAAGAGGACACCGCCACCTACATGCCATGGGAGAAGGGATGGATACCAAAAACCACAACTAAGGCAAAACCACCTTGGTTAAAGATACAAACCGAGACTTGGCCGTTGTTTGGCATCAGACAACCCGTGTGCAATGTGCTGAGCCCTACTCCGCGCACATGGAATGTGTACAGGGCTGTCACCAGCGGCCCGGCCTCCCAGCTCCCTCAGCCGGCCCGGCCGCGCTGCTCCGGCAGAGGAACCGTCCCGTCCCGTCCCGCCGCTCCGCTGTTACAGCTCTCTTCTCCTGCAGATTCCCAGCCGGATCTGCTCCCAGCCCGGCTCTGCACAGCCCAGCCCGGCCTTGGCAGGCCTGAGGAAACTCGGCGCTGAGGTGACTCCAGCCCGGGGCCCTGAGGTAAACCCGCTCCCTGAGGTAACGCCGGCCCCCAAGATGGCCGCTACCCCTGAGGTAACTCTGGTCCCCCCGGCCATGGCCCCGACCCTAAACAAACAAACCCTGCTCTCTGAAGGGGCCCTGAGGTAACGCGGGTCCCCATGAAGGTAACTCCGGTCCCTGAGGTGTTCCCGACTCCTGAGGGAACCCCAGCCCGGGCTCCTGAGGGAACCCTGGTCCCTGACGTAGCCCCTGCCCTCGCAATGGACCACCCAGGCGCGGTGCGGCGCGGCGGGCAGCTGCGAGCCGAGGGCCGTCCGGCTCTGGGAGCACAGCGGGGACACCCGGCTCCCCAAGGGGGCAGACCGAGGCGTCCGCGGGGATGACGGGGTCCCGTCTGCGGCACCGGACCGGGCATGGCCGAGCCACCCCCTCGACTTCCTCCGCCACGTGCGGCCGGTCCGGCGGCGCCCAGCAGCGCCCATCGCGCCCCCGGCGGCCGCGGGTATTAAACCCTCCTCCCGGCCCCCCCCTCACCTTCCTCCGCGTCGTCCTCGGGGTCGCGGAAGCTGGGCCGGGGGTTGAGCAGCTCCTCCAGCTGCTGCGCTAAGGGCGCCGCCATCTTGTCACGGCAGGGAGGAGGGAGAGAAGGGAGGGGCCGCGGGGCGGGGCTATACAGGGGTGGAGCCATGCGGGGCGGGGCCTGAGGCGCGTGGGACGGGCTGGGTCCTAGCTCCCGCCCGCCCGGCCGTAGGTGCCGGTTCCTGGTCCCCCCACTGATGGAGGATAACGATAACCGCATAGCCGAGCTGTGGGAAGCGGTGTGATGAAGCTGAGCAGCACTGGAATAACGGTATAGTGGCATAAAAGCAAAATCCTAATATATAATATCAAATACTACAGCTGCTTTAACTCACATTGCGCCTTTTTAGCACTGGTGGCTGCACAGACCTGAATTAGCTCTTTCCTTGTTCCATATGCTAAAGATCCCCAGCCTCTGCTGGAGCCAGGGTCTCTCTTAGAATGGTGGGTTCATAGTTAGCCCCAGTCCTGGTACACAGACAGCTCCTTACACCAGACTTACACCAGATGGCTCCTTACACCAGAGTTACACCAACCTCACCAAATCCACACCAGCACCAAAGCTCCTGGAGTGCTTTTGCCCAACTCTCACCTAGAAGGAGCAACGAAGTGATGGAGAAGTGGCCAGCCAAGAGCATTAATGAGAACAGGTTCTTGGGTTTGCCACCAGCAGCTTCTCCAGGCTGCTTTGTGGGGTGAAGTGACCCCAAAACACAAAGGTGGACCTGGAATTAGGGAATGCCAATGGGAATTAGCACATACTTTGTCACAAGGGAGTAGGGACCTTAATCTGCATCTTGGATTCAAGTTGCAGACACAGGTTTGAACTTCAGACCCTACAATGAACAGCTTCAGGGAGTCAGCCTGGACTCCAGGACCTGGGTTTTCCACAGCTGGCATTGAGATTTTCCCCAGGAAGGTGCCAACAGCAACCTGCAAACTTGAGCTGGTTCGAGCCCTGGTTGGGAGAAGAGCTGCGTAAGCTGCTGCTCATCCCCTTTGTGTCCACTCAGGACTCTTACCTGCTTTTAAAGGCTCTACAAATGAATCCGGACCTGGTTTCTAATTGGGATGCAGAGCGGTGGGGGCTGCACAGGTCGGGGTGCTCCCGCAGCAGCGTTCAGTGCGGGCAGCTCTCCTACAGAGGGCAGAGGAATATCATTAATTATCGCAGCCATCCATGCTCCCGCCACCGGGGTCCTGCAGAGGATGGATGGGAAACACCCCAACGTCTCACCCCTTTCTCACACGCCCCGGGGCCTCCCCCTATAAAACCCTATGATCTCGGGTAGTGCACAAACAATATACAATTCAATGTTTATAAAAACTAATGTTCACTGAAAATGCACATTTCCATCACAAGCAAAACCCTTGGAGTTCATGCTGTTGAGCATCTCACTCCTTCATACTGTAGTTTGTATTTATTTCATCACACCGTGATTGACAGGTATAATGCTCTGCATTATATACTATGTGGGTTTACCATTGCTCCAGCAATGTGACATTAAGCACTACTATCATTTGTTTTTCACTAAGACATGGGTTTATAAACCAGGAAACCTGAAAACCAGGGGACGGGTACTGTGTGTCTTCCCTGGCTTTGCTTCTAGGTCTTTCTTTTTCCTTTGAGTTCGTAGATGTTTTATTTCCAGAGTAAAAGATGCCATTGCAAACAAAGGGAGGAGCCTGGAGAAATAAATCTACGGAAAATTAAGGAGCAGAAACAAGTGAAACAGGAGTAACAAACCACTCACCTAAGCAAAGAACCAGTGCCAAGAACCCCCCTGCGTAACTGCATTTTCAAACCTCTGCACTCTTAAAGAGTGAAAAGGGGATGTTCTCTAACCTCACGAATAATAAATAGCCCTGTTAATAAAGGAAGAGAGAGGCTTTTAGTGATGGTTAAATACTACATACCCAGTATAATTAATAAAAAATACACAGTGAGCTGCATTACTCCTTTGGAGTGAAAAATGGGCTGCTTAAAGTCAGCAGTGTTTTTGCCCCTCACGCCAGCGAGATCAGGATTTCACCCACTGAGACTAATGGGACAACTGGTCGGTATAAATCCCAAATCCAGCAATGCATTAAGATTCCTGTATGTACAACTGCAAACTCTAACAGAGCCTATAGACCTGTTTCTTTTCTGTCCTGCTTCCATTGCTTACACTGGTGCAAAACAAACAGGAAGGCTACACTCACACACATGCATTGCACACGTACATTACATGTGTCCTCCATGTGCAGGGGTTAAGGGGGAGCCCCAGACTGGGCCCTGCTCTGGTTACTGGGGTCAGCACAAGGCGCTGGTAGTTCACAGTGTTTGACAAGGAGATCCAGTCACTATAAACCCACATCAAGGAGAAAACGCAGTGTGTGGAAGTCACGGATTGTTAACGTATTGCACCGCCGGAGCCTCCTTCCTCCCCGTTCATTCCCTCTCTTTTGCCTTTCACTTAGCAGGGTAATTAAAAGAGACTCTCAGGCTCGCTTTTAATTTCTGGTTCACATGCCCTCAAACCACGCTGCTGTGGTTTGCACTCAGGATCATGCGGGGGAATATTTGTACCAACCCAAATCTATCAATACATCTTAATTCCAGACAATCACGAAAGCCTTTCCTGCATCACGGTGCGCTCCGTAAACCCCTCTGCCTATTTATGAACTATAAGCAGAAGCCATCAAACTGACTGACAGAATTCCTGTGGCATTTTTTCCTCTTAATTTTCCTTTCTATTTACACGCTGATTTGCTAAATGGAACTAACACCCTAAACACAGGGCACCTAAACAAGTGCATCTGGAACAGCCTGCGCTGCGAGCAAAAAGGCGCTTCTAATTCCTCACACCCAGCCTCTTGTGCTCCCGTGTATCCGTGGAGCTTGTCATCCTGTAGGAAATTGTCAGATGAGAGGGTAGCTTTGGCAGTGAAGGACCACATCATCCTCGTGCGTCTGTGTAATTACAGGTTATTAACAGGAATCCATTTTCCAGGGCATTTCTTAAAGGTATAAATAAAGGGACGTGTTGGAAACGTGAAGCCGTTCAGACACCACCAGCGAATAACTCGCTGCTCGCCCGCGGAACCTGCGCTCAGCGGAGCGGTGGGAGCGAGGTGGGCTGCAGGCTCCGGGCTGCCATGGGATTCCCATAGAGATCCACGGGAATGACAGGCGCCGGAGCCGCGTCTCCTGGATTTAATTGAATTGCATTATCAACGGCAGGATTTGACCCATATCCGGAGGACTGCGCGCCGCCCAAAAATAGCTGCAAGCCCGAGCTGAGCTTATCTTTCCAATGCTTTGGCTAGCAAATGTAATTTCCCAAACCAGGCTTTCTCGTTGCAGCCAGGCTATTCCATTTGAGATTTCCCTTTCTTAAATCAGCAACACAATTTGTCAGGGAAATAGGGGGGAAAAGAAGAGGAAAAAATGGGGGAGAAGCAGAAAAGAGCACTCATAAACCCACCTCCTAAAATAAATGACCTGAGAGGACATTTCGGTTATGTACATTAAAAACCACTCTCCTTATTAATATTTATTGCTGTTTCTCACCTGTGTTTTTATTGACTGGGGTGGTTGGGGTATTCCTAACCCACCACTCACTCAGAAAACACAACTGTTTTAAAGATTTAATCAACCCTTAATGGCTCTTACATCTAGGACCAGAATGAATACAGTGAGCCTGAATAGGCGCGCAGCCTGAAGATGCTTCCAGCAGATAAGGATTTTAAAGGCCACCCAGAGACAATCCAAAAACAGGAAGAAAACCTTTTTTAGACAGAGCCAAAATCTCTATTTTTCATCCACAAAAAGCACACACACACACACACACCCCCGTGCACACTGGTTTGTGCAGGAACACAGCACACAGCTCTCACAGAGACACTGAGCACAACCATGCAGGGCAGTGCTCACTCCCAACACTTCCCCGCAGCTCGCTCCGGCTCCATGGAAGCTGGGGGGGATATTTTCCAGCTCACATTCCCAGGCTGTGCTGTGTGACCGTTCCCACACCATATAAAGAGACCTTTTGACCACGCCACACTCAACCTGTCCTGCAAACTTGGGCTTCCTCGAGGAGCAGAGTGAAGAGTTTCATTCCAAACCATGTGAGATACCGGCAGCTGCTTTAAGGCTTGGATTCTGCAGGAAGAACTTGGATTAAAACCAATCAGGAAAAGAACTCGAATTCTTGCAGTTGCCAAAACCACTCTCCAAGAGCGCACCAAATGGCACCCAAGTGGAGCTGGTCCTCATCTGAAGGCAGCCTGTAACAGAAGGCTGCAGAGAGCCCCATTGTGCCCCTCATCCCCAAGAGCGGAATGTTGAGGACCAAGGGCATTCTCCAAGAACCAAACCATGACATGTGCAATAAAACCAGCTGTGCCCATCACCTTCAGTGATCCCATACACATATAGGGAAAACACGGCAGGAAAAGCAGTTGCCCTAAGACTGCCCTTACAGGAATCCCAGGAACAGAGGGGTGGTAATTTGGAGCTGTGAGGTCACGTTCACCCTGCAATCTCTGCAACACAATTCGGCATCTGATGCATAAAAGCTCTCCAAGCAACAAACTCCACTTTCCAAGCATGACCCTATGCTCTACAGCTAAAATCACCATAAATAACAACCAGAAAGGAAACACAAGATGATAGCAATTCCAGACGGATTTAGAATCAAAATATATTTGCAATGGTCCCTTTAATTTCATTTATAACTTCATGGATATTTTATTGGTGTGAGGAATGCCGAGCACCCAGTGCCATGGCAGACACAAAGACAAGACTTTCCAGAAGCTGCTCCAGCACCACAGTTCCCTGTTCCCAGCTCAACAGTGCTGGCAGCATTTAAGGATAGGTATCAGTTGTTTAAACTTAACATATATGAATTTATCTACTAGGGGCAGTAACAGAAAGAGAGGCTGCAAATGCTTATATTTAACATTGTGAGAACATGCAAAGCTTCAGTGCAACACTCTTATCCAGGATAAAAATCCAGACTATGGCCAAAGGAATCATTCCTGAGAGGACACTGCAACATCTGCCACCTCCT